CCTATTCTTCGATGCCCCGAATCATACAGAATGGCCCTTTATCCCCATCTCCCTGCTGTACTGGGAGGCTAGTGTCCCATCCCCCAGCTGTATGAGACCAGACTGACAGCACAGCTGGTCCTTCCCCCAACCTCCCTGCCGTACTAGATTATCCCTTATTGACCAAAAACCTCAGCCTCTGGTGCCAGGGTCAGCAACTTCCAGGAACATTTTTTTTATTTCTGACTACCTACTTTAAGCCCTGCTGTCCTCTCCCAGCCTCAAGGTTGGGACCCTGGGACTGAGTCACAAAAGAGCAGTGGGGAGGAGGAAGATAAGCTCACCTTTTGCATTAAGTTTTTCAGAGATTGGAGCAGGGTGGAAAAGACTCACATTTAGGCACCTAAGTCCACTTCGGTGTTTAATAGGTGGAATATACAAAAAACTAGAACTCTTGGTTCCAAAATGGTTATTAGACCAACTGGAAAATGGCAAGAAAATTGTCCTTTTCTGCAAGCTTTCGGGATCAAAGTCCCTTCGTCAGGCTCTGGGAAAAGTGTAGATGGTACAGGAGGGTAAAAAGTCCCCATAGGTAGGAAATCAACTTCAGAGGGAGCTGAAGATGGAAGCCTGTCCTTCTGGGTCCATGAGAGCGTCTTTGTGAGCTGTGTTGAGTAGCTCTTTGATGTGTTGATCAGGTAGAAGTCCTTCCCTGGAGGTGTCAGATGGGAGGCAGGGAAGTAAAAATACTTCCTGAAGTAAAAGTACTTCCTTGTAGTTCTGCAAGTAAGTTTAAAATCCAAAATTGGCTGAAATTCAGCATCTTCCATGTTTCAGGGGTGTACTTGGTAGCCGTGTTAATAGGTGGAATAGAATCTGGCCCTTATTTTCTGAATCATAGTTAAGCATAGGTGACAGAAATAAAAGACTCAGGCATACAAGGCACTTTTAGGGTCCAACGTGGGGTTTTGTCAGGATCAGAGTTTTGACCTGGGTGCCTATGTTCCTTCTCAGACCTGCGCTAGGCTCTTAAGCCCCAAGTAGGTTTTTTCAAAAACATGTCATCTGCTGAGTTCTCTTGCTTTCAGTGAGAGATGTGAAAGTCCCACTTGGGTACCTTTGTGAATGTGACCGCATAGAGCAGTGGTTCTCAGCTTTTTTGCATTCAGTGCACCTCTGGTTAGACTCGAGGCTCCCTTGCATAGATGTGAAGCATCCCTGGGAAAGTGCTAGATCTTAGTTTTCACATTTTTTTTTTTTGCCTACAGAAAAATAAGAGTGGGGGGGATTTTCTGTTGCAAAGAGCTCAGACAGAGCACAACAATGGATTTGTATTTGTAATCTCTGGGTTTATCTTGTGAATCATGTGTGCAAACCTAAGTGCTAATATTGTATGATACCTTGCAACAACCTGGGGTGCCTTAAGATCCTTTCAAAGGTGTCTTGGCTGTGCTTATTGGTGCACACTCAGTGCTTCTCTAAAGCAACTGCCTTGTCTCTTTTCTGGCATTTATAGTGGGAGGCAGTGGGTGGATCAGTCTTCACAGTGGTTCTCCTAGGTTTGGTTCTGAGATGGTGTAGGTGTGTATTAAGTGACCTGTCTAATCCTGCATAGTGACTCTGTTTAGGTCCCCCCTTACCCCAGTCTTGGTTTAGTGCTATAAGCATTGAGTCATCTTTACTCTCCTTCTAGATGAATGACCCTCTGGGATGCGCCAGGAGGGAGAATGGCACCATGGCGACGGTGACAAAATTTATACTCTTGGGCCTTTCTAGCCGCTTGGAAGACCAGTTCATCCTCTTTGGATTCTTCACAGTCTTCTACCTGACGGCCCTGGTGGGAAACCTACTTATCTTAGTGATGATCAGCATGGACTCCAGGCTCCACACACCCATGTATTTCTTCCTGGGCAATCTGTCAGTGGTGGACATAGGCTACACCACCTCCACGGTGCCCAAGATGCTGGTGAACTACCTGTCACAGGACAAGTCCATCTCGCTTCCTGGCTGCCTCACTCAGATGTACTTCTTCATTTCCTTTGGGGGGATCGAGTGCCTGCTGCTGGGGGTCATGGCGTATGACCGCTATGCTGCCATCTGCCACCCGCTGCGCTATGGTGTTCTGATGAGCCAAAGGGCATGCTCTTGTCTGGCTGCAGCTGCCTGGGCCATTGGCTTGGCCAACTCGGCTGTGCACTTGGGTCTGATGTTCCGCTTGTCCTTCTGTCATGACAACGTCATCCGCCACTTTTTCTGTGACATCCCCCCGCTTTTCCAGCTCTCCTGCTCTGACACGCGGATCAATCAGATTGCCACTATTGCTGTGGGAGGTCCTGTCGCCATGGGCTCCTTCTTGGTGACTCTTGTGTCCTACATCTACATTGTTCTGGCCATCGTCAGGATCCGCACCAAGGAAGGACGCCTCAAGGCCTTTTCCACCTGCACCTCCCACCTGGCTACCGTCAACCTTTATTTTGGCACCATCCTCTTCACCTACGTCCGCCCCAATTCCAGCTACTCCCAGGAGCAGGATCGGGCTCTGCCTGTGCTCTATGGCATCATCACCCCCATGTTAAATCCTATTATCTATAGCCTAAGAAACAAGGAGGTGAAGGGGGCTCTCCAGAAAGCCTTAGGAAGGAGCTAGAAGAGTCTTGCCTCCTAAATAGTAGTGCCCTGGATTTGGAGCCAGGATTCCTGGAGGTTTAGGAGAAGAATAAGGCTGAGTGAGTGAGAACAGGTTGGGGCTGGTAGCCAGGCCTCTCGACATCTAGTCCCAGCTCTAGAAGAAGATAGTTAGAGCAGGGGATTGTGCATCAGGAGTCCTAGGATCCCTACCTAACGTAGGAGGTGTGTGCATGTGTGGGTTAGTGCTCCAGGCAGGAGTGTTTCAGTAACTAAACCCTGACATTTTCTGGCTTTCACTGAACTCTGTTCTCTTTTAAACCATATTTGAGCTAATGTTTTTGGATTTAGAGCAAAATTTGTAAGGGTTTTTCCCCCACCCAATTTCTGAAAATGAAAAAAAAAATCATCTGATTTTAGTTTTCTGACGCATAGTAACCCTTTCTTGAGAAGTAATTTTTCGCACTAGAAGGAGCGACTCAGATGCCCATAATTTGGGTGCACATTGTTTCCCATTTGTGCCTCAGTTGTCAGTCTGTGCATCTGGGAAACTCTAATTCAGTGCCAGTGGGAAAAAAACCCAATTATTTTTCATA